AGAGAAAATGTAAGAGTTCTATAAGAGATATATTAAAAATATGAAAGATTAATCAGTAAGTCACATATAGTTAACATATAAATTAAAATTACTTACATATATCTTAATAAAAATAGTTGAATTCTACACATAATTTCACTTTTAAAAATACAAAATGATAATATATTGATGTATTCATTGTATATAATATCATATTATAATTTATAAGTTAATAAAATACTTTAAATTATCTAATCATCTCACATAAAAAGTTGTGATATTTTAAAATATATATTTATAAGTATAATTCATTATTATTATAATATTAAGCAAAATTCAGTCATATTCTTAATTATTTTAAAAGAAATAAGATATAAAAAGAATGATTTAAAAGTATTATTACTACTGCTTTTATCACTACTTTTATTACTACTCTTATTACTACTTTTCTTATTATTTCTTCTACTACTCTCACTACAGCTGTGATATCTTATTCAATATCTATATAATATAATCTTACTGAACACTGATTGAGCTATATTTCAAACCTAGATACAGCTGAGCTTCTTAAATATTGAGAAAACAGTATAAAATTATAGTATATTATTAATAAGAAATCTCACTATTAATCTTTTAATCTTCTGATAGTAGATTCTGCATCTCACTTATAAATAGCTTGATAACTTACTCAGTTTCTCTTTTAACTTTAATCTGTATATTAATCTGACTGAGACTGTTTACAGCTACAGTCAGATTTTAAATATTCTTATTAATATTCTCTGATTTTAAGTATTTTTTTATATAATTGATACTTCTGAAGACTGATAGATTTATTACAGAAGATGATGAACTTTCTTCAGTTTCTGAATTCATCACAGAAGATTTTCTCATTTCAGATATTATTATATAATATTTAATTATAAATTAGTTAGTGATAAGTCTGTTATTAAGTAATTCTTCAGTAAGTTCTTGAAATTCAGAATCACATTCTCAAAAGATTTCAAGATTAGAATATTTAAAGAAATACTTATTTATAATCTCTTTATTATTAATATAGATTTCATATCTATGATTATACATTCAGCTGAATATCTGATTTTTATATTTTATTCAAAGTATTTAAATTTGTTTAATCTTTCTTCACTAATTATTATATACTTCTTTGATTATTATCTGATCTGTTAACTGCTTGACAGCCTGTATAACAAGATTTCAACTCACAGGTTTGAAGTTATCATTATCAGTATTTAATTCTTTCTTTTTCATCTTCAAGAGTTCAGTAAGCAGGGCCTTTTTCATCATAAGACTTCATGATATTCTGAGACATCTGATTTGAGAAGCAAGTATTCACTTTCAAGAGATAGTAGATATTTGATAAGAGAGTGTTTCAGAGTATGTTTGAGAGAGTATTTAAGAGAATAATAATAATTGAGAATCTGATTATTAACTTAGTGAGATTGAAATTGTAGAGATTTGAGTATTGTTATTCTTCATATTCAGATATTATATTGAGATATCATACTATGACATTCTTGTTCACTGCTTTCATGAATTCTAGCTAATAAAGATGATTAAATATAGACAAATCAATCATAGATTTGAGAGAATATGATTTCAATGTGAACATGTTGATGAATGTGAAATTAAAAAAAAAGTCAGCATGAAGTGATCTCAATTATAGAATAGTGTGATGACACAACACCGGCTTGCTACTAAATAATTGATAAATACACTATTTTTAATGAGATCCACTATTGCGTTCAAAAAGTACGGACGCACCGAACAGGCCCTTAGTGTTGGGCGCCCGCCGCTGCTGCGGTCGCTTATGTGGCGATCTCCCTATAATCACGTGGCCGCCACTATATTAGGTAGATTCTGTAGGCTACTGGGGCAAAAGAGCTCAGTCACCACCAGCGCACTGCTGGTAGAAGAATCTAACAATGTATATTGATATACTGCGTAGATAAAGTACTCTGCAACTATCATCATTTCAAAAATAGGTCATGCAGGGCCGATCAACCCGGGACCCCCAACAGATTCTTTGTAGATAGCTCTGCCAATAGAACTTCAACTATCCTACACTTAAGTTAGTTAAGTTAGTTAACTAAGTTATAGGTTACGCAGCGTAGTTAACTCTGTCTCACATTCTACTGTGTATGCAGCGTATATGAAAGATAGATTATAATATAATAATGTTGATTCTTCTACAGATTCTCCATTATTCTTGGAGAAGCTAATATTACATGTGTGGATCACTTGCAGAGGCGATTGCTGTGGCAGCACCCCCCATGAGATAAGCTTCCGCCATCGCCTGGGGCTTCTGCGACGGGAAGCACGAGCCTGTATCGGAGATAAAATTGGCTGCTTGGGATTGAATACGTGTGAGGAGGATGCTTTACCGCTGATTGCAGTGATTTGCAGGTATCGCGTCACTTTTGGTGCGGCAAAAACAGCGTAGACTGGAAACTTTGCGTCTTCATTTACAGCGAGGACACAGATATACTCTACTAACATAGATGTTGAATTAACATTTTCGGTTAGAAAACCGCATGGTTGATGGAAAATATTTGTAGGCTCAAGACTATATACACGGGAAAAAAGGGAAAGAGGTTTCTGAACTCTCTGTTCTATTTGGTTCTGATATGCTTGAGCTTCTTAGGCTCGTGCAAAAAGTTGTTTGCATAAGCTTTGGGGCGGAACACTCGTTGATTCGGTTCCTGGACAAAGTATTCGTATCCCTGCTTTTCGGCAAAAGCTATCGCATCTTCCTTCGACTTGAAGTCAATAAAGGTCGCTTGCATGGCATCGGCGGAAGATTGCCATCCCATCAGCGGATTCTCCCAGCGATGGCCTTTCGCCAAAACATCCCAATCCATTCGCCAGTGTTGGGTATGCCACGTTCCAGATTGTGTCGCAGGTTTCGAGGGTTGAAAGATCCTAACGATTTGTTAGTAAGGCGGGTGGGAAATCAGCGAGATTGGGCTAGCAGAAATCTAATACCTGACGGTTCGCGCTTGAAGATCGGTGGGAGCTCCGGACAGAACAGCAGCAGCAACGGCACCGCTTGGTTCGCTGCCGTCCATAACGCGTTTGGGCACAGGGGAGAATGATCTGAAATACGCAGTTAGTCAACCGGGAATGGCACACATGACATATTGCGGTCGCCTTACGATGTGCCGTGGTCAACCGTAGCATTGTAGTTTGGCTGATGGCGTGCCATTGCCTCTGAAGGAGTCTCTTTCCGTGTTATTGAGCCTCTCACTACGGCACCGGGTGCATCGGCTGGGCTTGTTTTGGGTGCGCCCTCAGCTTCTTGCGAGGGCGTCTTACTGATATAGCGAGCATTGGACCGAGATGACAATTGACCAGCTCTGAAAGAGACGGCGTTTAGGCCAAACGGCCTTCCAGTCCGTAATAGAGACATTGTGGTGTGGAGTTGGAATCGAGATATCGAGGATAGGAATGGCTGGTTGTAGGGGAGGCGGAAAGGACTTAGGTTTGGGTGAGGAGTGTCCCAATCAGGCTAGCGCGGAGTGGTTCACCACTGATCCTCTTCCGACGAAGCAAGCTCATCATCAAAATACTCAACCCTCACTCTACGACCACGATCGATTTTGGTTCAATTGCTATCCGAATCAAAGTACGCCGTCCTCAATAGCCTTACATCTGCTTTCTACAATTCTGATATACCACAGGTCACTCGCCATGAGCTACGTCGCACGCCGCGGTCTTTCGACCCTCATTCCCCCCAAGGTACGACTTCTTTACAATTATTATCCCTTCCGCTAGATCTCTAACTTCTAAATAGGTTGCTTCTCCTACCGTAAGCTACTATCCGCTACCAACCACCCGCTGTTTGGACATATCATATCCTTCCGTTGCCAGCCTATCCGGCACACAATTCCTGCAATTGGCTCAAACCCACATTGTCGCAAACTTTCTTGGCTAATACTGGGATAGGGAATTGGAGCTGCTCAAGATGCCGCCCGTATGGAGCGCATAGTGGGCTTCTACGAGAAACTGCCACGCGGAGCAGCACCTGAAATTAAGCCCACCGGCCTCCTTGGACGGTACCAAGCTCGATATTTCGGAAAGAACCCCTCTGCAATGCGTGAGTGAACCCTTAACTCAAGACAAATTACATGTCATATTTATTCCCTTGGAAATATATCATAGTTTTCAAATTTGAGGCTCACCTGCTGACGAGATGAATCACAGCAATTATCCATGCCATTGGGGGACTGATGCTTTTGGGCTACAGCATGGATTACTACTTCCATCTCCGTGAGTTCCTTGTTGCTACGGATACTTCATCTTCTAATAGGCTAATTCCTTCATGAAGGCCACCACAAGAACAATGCGCATTAAGTCGTTGATTCCAACCCCTAGTCGAATCGAATCGAAGCCGAAGGGCTTAAAGTGCAACCGCATGTACATGTACATATAGATATAAAAACAATGCAGTATACTTTCCTATCTTGTTACTACTATAATACATATTTTTAGAGAATTGACTCCCATTTTCTGTTGTCTCAGTTGAACCGATTTGCCACCCATTGTGATTATTTTACGGATTACCAAACTAGAGGATGCATACAGAGTACATATATGGGAGGTAGGAGGCAGAAGGCAGAGATAAAATGAAAAATTATGAAAAATTATGAAAACTGTGTCAACAGTGTCAATATGCCAACGGGAATGGCGAGATAGTTTATTCGGATTTGCTACAATCCATTGTATTTAAGTAGGAGGATGGATTTCTCGGCTGAAGGAGTCACCCGGCCTCCTGGTAGGGTAGCTCTCTCCTGATTCCCCGAGAGGTTGATAGACAAAAAGAGAAAAGCAAGCAATACTATATAACCTCTAGTTAATTTGGCACTAATAACTTAATTCGCAAAATCACTTTCATCCACAACATCCGTGGTTGATGTCACCAGCCGACCCATTTTGTTTGGCCGCCAGTCTCAGGTGACCCGGCCACCCACCCAGCCTTTGGAGGGAAGGAAAAAGCGGCGGTGGCCTTCGCCGCTAACCGTATCTGGGCTGTCCAGCTTGGCCACACGTATCTCTCCTATTGCTTCACCTCCATCGATATTTTCCAAGAGAAGTCCATTTCTTCCAGACATCCGGCTTGCTTCACCGGCTTGTATTCTCTGCTTCATTATCGAAACGGCTGCCGACCGCCTTTGGCTCGTTCCGGCCCGGAAGGGAAGCTGAGCTCCATACCGAAACTTCACCTACCTCACACACCTCAGTCATCCACGCTTTGACAAACATCGTACGAGGAGAGCTTGGTGGTTATCGTGGCGAAACTCAGTCCTTGATAAGAGGTATATTTAGCATTTCATTTTGCGATACCCCTGGTGCTCAAAGTTTCTGTCTTTCGTGCTGTTTGACTGCGTGACGATAAGGGTAGTAGTGCTAACTATCGCAAAACCGCCAAACCTCCGCAGATTCGAGCATTGTTATGGCAGAGCAGAGCAGCCACGATGTGGTAAACCAAACCCGGTCGGGCGGCGAGATATCGCCTTCCGACGTTCCTGCAAACAAACCCGACAATATCAATGCTGGAGAGGACGCGGGGGGGTTTAAACAACAGAATTCAAACAATGACAACGATAGCAACGACAACAACAACGATAGCAAATCTGAACAGCGAGCCGACCCAAAGACACAGGAGAGAGCGCATGACACCCCTGGTATGCTAGGAACATCAACCCCTGAAAGATCAACGGCGCTTGGAAATGAAACTGTAAGTCTTGAGATGGGTCTCGACGCTTTTATGGTCATTACTGAGCCTACTGTAGAACAAGAATCGCGACAATAATTTAGAAACCAGAAACGATGGAAAACCAGCAATCAATGGACTTGGGGAAACATCGCATACCGGTGATGATAGACTGTCTCCGCTTCAGCTTGGTGACGCCAGTGGAGGATCCGACACAGATACCAGTAGAACGGATCTCCGATCATCAGCGGACCGGAGCCAACATATACGCACTAACTCCGTTAAGAGAACGTCCGTATTCAAACCAGTCTCCTACGCCAAGTTTTCCGTTACGAAATCACCAGGGCCCCTGCAGACATCCAAAGCAAGTGCGGACAAGAGTAAGTGAACCGACACCATTCCGCGAGACGTGTAACTAATTTGTCCGCAGCGTCGTTTGCATCTGCATCTTCAACTCCATCAGTTTCACAACCTGCAAAACCTCGATTGGTGGCGAAGTCGACAGGTGGGCTGCGAGACTCGACACCGAAGTTGACGGGTATTGGTAGTAAAAGTGGCAATGGTGGTCCTGATCCAAATCAGGTCTGGAACAAAAACAGACGTGAGACGCCGAAACTACATGTTAATTCTGAGTATTACGATGCTAACTATAGCAAACAGCTGTCCAACCACCAACCAAACACCTAACAGATGAGGAGCTGAAAAAGCAATATGGAATACACATGACCTCCAGGATTCAGGAAGATGGGAACGGAACGGAAGCTAAGTGGGCAGATATCGATGATGACGAGGACGATTGGGCTCCTGAAGTAATAGAATGGAATGACGGCACGAAGATTAAACTCACTCAAACAGAAAATGTTCCGCTCCCTGGAGAGAAAGAGAAAGATACAACGAAGGACAGAAAGCCGTCTCCTCCCTCGCTCGAAAGCAGATCCAAGCTCTTACTTTCTAAAACTAGTTCTGCGGGCCCAAATGCGACTGTACTGAAACTTGGAGCAGGCGCTGATAAACAACACAGATCAGGGGAGACAAAGGGACACAACGAGAAACCGACCCTTACTTCCAGAGCTCAGTCTGCAGCTCACAGATCTCCTTGGGCTCCTCTACCTCCAATTGACAAAGTTCCCCCTGTGACCATCAACCCACCTCTACCTGGTCCCCCAACCCGCTTTTCACAACGTGACCCTCATGGCCACGCCCCTGGGCCAGCAACCTCAGGTCCAGCAAAGGAAATTGCGGCAGATGATTTTAATCGGTCATGGAGAGATACTCATTCTAGTGCCCCTCGTGAACTTTATAACTCGCAATCTGGCCGGTATGAGCCTGTTCTGGATACTCGACGAGGCCCAGCTCGAATCGAAGCAAATTTCAGGCCACCTTCGCTCCTACAGCGGCCCACCCACGAACAACCAAACCTCGCAGAACCCTCCCCAACATTCCAGTCTCGTGGATCAGCTGCTGATGGTGCTTCTTGGGGAAGGAGACGTACATCTTCCAATGTTAGCGGAGGAAGTGGCGCATTTGGTCGCCGGATGTCGCTCGGAAAAACTCCCGTTAATGGGGTCAATGAACGGCCATCATCGCCTCTCCCCCACCAGAGAGGACCATACCCCTCTCGTGGCATTTCGCCATCCCAACCCTCCACTCGCCAAAACCGCGCAGGGCCTCCATCCACTCACTATGCGCCTCCCGGGTTTCATGGTGGTGCCCCTCAACAATCGGGTCCGCCAGTAACAGACGAGACAGCACAACAGCAGGTACCGTTCGAGGATCCGATTGCAATGCAACAACGCATCATGCGCGAAAAGAGGGAACTTGCAAGACAGCGCCGTAAGGAAGAGGAAGAAAGGGAAGAGGCAGCAAAACAAGAAAGAATTAGATTGAAACTTCAAGCTATGGGAGTGCCCCCTGAAAAACCATCGGAAAAGACTCCCGAGAAGCATTCCGACCGCCCGTCGGAAAAGCCAGCCGTCGAGGAATCATCTGCGCCGTCTGAATTATCAAAGCAAGCGGCAGGAGGAACTGGTTATTCACCCCCTAAGCCTCCTCCTGTTCCTGAACCTTCCGGGGAGCCAAAACAATATGGAATGATGAAAGTACACCATCCAGCATCCGCTAAAAAATTAGTAGCAGCGAGCGAAAGAGGTCCAGACCGGTCATTCGCAAACAACCAACCCCGCCAACCGCCATCCCCCTCCCGAGATTCTAAATTAGAATCTGCCAGGTCTCTCCCAACAAATGTCAATGGAGTACGTCCTTCCACGGAGTCTTCTCCAACAGAATCACGTCACGAGTCCATTCTAGATGAAAAGCCGCCGCAGTGGAAAGGACCCCTTGCGGGAACAGCAACCTACACTTCGTGGTCTGGCCAGAACCTTAGTTCTCATCCCCCTCCGACTTCGTCATTGTGGGGCCCACTAAGCAATGATAAGGCACTGGGAAATGGCACTTTCGATAGGAATTTGACTGGATTTCCTTCCCGAGATTTACCACTCACGATTGGGCTACCGCCCACAGCAGATCGACTTGGAAGTACCGAAAGGCCGCAGCCCATGGTAGATAACGGCCGTCCGTTATCGCCACTAGCATCCCCCCAAGAACGACCTTCTCGACTTGCCATCAACGAGCCTCTTAAGCCAATTGCTCGACCAACACCTATAGGGCCCCCAAGCTCCCATACACAACCACAACGGTGGCAAAATGACCAAGTCTCCCGTCGATCACAGGACGCAGCTGGCTGGAATGATTTCCATACTGTTGCAGCGAAAGCAGAACTGGACGGGGGTGAGAACTTTCATCGAGAATTTGCAGCCTTGCGTGATGAAGAAACGCGGAGCGGCCTTAGCCCTGCCTCCCTTCAAGTTTCATTTAATGAAACATGGCGGCAAGTCGAGAATGATCCAACTGGTCAGCGCCACGGGACTACCAGAACGAATGATCGGGGAGCATCACTTCCACCGTTGCATGGATTCCCGCCAGCAGTTCCTCCATTGCCTTTCTCCGATGTGTCTACGAAGACCCTCCCGAATGCTACCGGAAGAGAATCGAGATTTTTCCCTCCCGGTGGGGACCAGCTTAGAAGGCCGGCAAATATCCCTAACATATATCCCCAAAGCCCTTCACCGCCTCCACCAGACGATATTTCCAGCCACCCAGTTTTTACTGGAGATTCTAATCGGCCGTTGGTCCACTTGCCAACCCCGAAACCTCGTGTGAAACTCCCTCCGCGGCAAACCTCACCACCACCTCCGCCCGCCACGTTCGCTTCCATGGCTGCGGCTCCGGCAGTCCGTCCCCCTCCTCAACTCATTGCGAACACCACGTCATGGCAAGACAGATTTAATGGGTTGTTTGGTAAAAAGCCTTCACCGGGTAAGACTTACGCTCTTGCCGTTACCTCCGCTACCAAGGAGCCTCTTGAAGTTCAGCCATCCACATCTCCCGCGTCCGTATCCTTTCCACAATATGACGAGATGGAACTTCTCCGCGATGCCGGTAGAGCTACGTCTAAGGATGTTGAGGATGAGGAGGCTATTTTTGAAGACCGGGAAGCAGGCTCGACTCCAGTTGTGAAATTGCCAATCATAGCTCCCAAGGCTGCGTGGCTACCAGCTCTCCCACCACCACATTCCCGCTTGCGCCCTAAATATCAGAAGCCTGTCCAGCCCTTGAGCATTGAGCCGTATATTGCGGGTTTTTTTGACGATGACAATACATCAGTTATCATTCATTTACCCGGTGGGGATGCAGCCAAGACACTCATGTTGCCAAAGAAGGGAGGCAACACGCCTCCCCGCCCGAGGGGTCCTTCAACCTTCAAACAGCGGAAAAATGCGAAGCCTAGAGACGGATCTGGCAACTATAGCCATTCCCACGCATCAAGAAAACATCCACACTCTTCTACACAGCGAGCGGCCCAAAGCAGTGGCAGCTGGGCCAACCGTGCGTCTAACACCGCCCATTAGTCTATTCGAATGCGAATTTTAGGAATTTGGCATCATATTGCGTGGCATGTTCTAGGTTGCATTGGCTAATGACCTGCATCGCTACCTTTGCAAGTGTTGAGCTGAGAGCACTCTACTTTTTCGGGAGGTACCTGGGGCCACTATTTACCTGTACCCTTTTTTCTTTTTCTTTTTCTTTTTTTTTCTTTTTTTTCTTTTTTTTCTTTTTTTTTTTTTTTTAAGCTCTTTTTCGTTATGTTTTATTCTAATCCTACGCTTATACTCGCTGTACCTGCTCTCTTTCCATTTTCTCTTCGCTCGATTAACCCTTTACATCTCACCATTTATCCCCATCAAACTCTACGCCCCACCTCCCACGAAACTTAAACACCATCCACATTAAGGGTGCTCTTCATACTGAGAGGTGCGAAATTTACCTTAAAGGAACGAAGATGAGCTAGTTTTTTTCATACTTTTTATGTGCACCTCTTACCATCCAGAGACAGCGCCTTAAATCCCGTGCAAACAAAGGTGACGAAAATGATTCCTAGCATTATAAAGGCCTGTACATTATTCCCTTTATTTTTATCAAAATTAACCAACGTCTTGTTACCATATAGTGTGAAGATTATTTTCTTTTGTTAAATTAAATGCTGATGAAGCTGTATTCAAAGCTCGCGATTTTGAATATAATACCATGATGTTTAGCAGTCGTAGAGGCTCAAGCTGCGTCGGCGGGTGGAGTTTGATTACGCAGGTCAGGCATTGACCCTGACGGGGGGTGTTGTGGTGAAGGCAGTCTGGGAACGACGACTGTAGCCATGATTTCGTTTCCCTTTGGGTCTGGAATTATTGCACACGTTGAACAGCAGACTTGGTGTATTTCCCACTACCATTAAGGTAGGTATCACGACTCTTCGCAGACGGACCAAATGGTCGCATCGCATGCTGTCACAGAGATCTTGATGGCAATGTATATATATATATCTTCAAGCCCTGTTCGAAAAGCACGTTACTACTTATGCCGTTCTAAATACTGTCTCATTGCTTGCTTGTTACGTAGCTTTCTATACCGAACGTGGTAATTGCATGTTGATTAGTAGGATACATGCAGAGAAGGTAGCCCCAATATATAAATGCTGGGGCTAGTAAAGGACATGAAAAAGAAGTGAAACGCCGTGAATGCAAGCAAGGACTGGAAAGAAATAAGTCACCGAGAAAAAAACCACCTTCTGAAGCACACCAAACGCCTCGCTGAGTCAAACCATGAAACGCTCAAAATCAAACAAATAAACTCGCACCTAAAACAAAACCAGAAAAGGTAAAAGCCGTCCGTCGGGCTGTAGGGGGAAACCCTGCCCACCTATATAGAAACAGGAAAGGCGGAAGGCAAAGAAAAAGGAGAAAAGCGAGGAAGCGCCTCTACCAATTCCACGTCCGACTTGACGCAGTAAAGACAGGGGGTTTCCACTGTAACCTGGCGGGATCGATCTTGCGGGCGCCTTTGATTTTTTCTTTCTCCAGCCGTTTTTTGTGTTGTTCGATCACGGCATCGGTGAGGACGATGATCCAGTTTCCTCGCTGTAGCAGTATCAGCACTGTTTTCCGGCAAGGAATCTTGCATGCAAGGTAGGTGGGTAAAGACAGATACATACGTTATACCTAAGGAGATTCAATACAACAAGCGTCTCGTGTACATCCTTTTCCGTCATCGCGCTAAGACTCGCCAGTTCGCTTTCACTGATGCTCTCTCGACCTGGCTCCATCAGGATGTCGACGATGGTTTCTCGCCAGTATTGACGATAACCCAATAGGCCCAGGTCACTAAGAGGCTTCTCGGGCGAACCCAGCTTGTTTTCTCGTTTGCTAAGCTCGTAACTAAAAGCGATGAGTAGACGCCCGAAGCCTCGACGCTGGTACTGTGGCAACGTCAGGATACAGGCTACATTGTACCCTTCTGCGGATTCTTTCTCTTTGGAGAAGTATCCGACCAAATGACAGCCATGTTCGTCTCGCGTAGTCATGCAGTAGAAGAGGAAGGGGTCAACGTCGTAGTAGAGAGTCTTGTGATCAAGGAATAGCTTGCTAAGGAGACATAAGTTTCGACACCAGGTCCGCTGGCGGCGTCCATCGACCTCGAAAAATGAAACATGATCGTCACGGTAGATTTCGTTTCCGGGCGGATGGACAAGGGTACATTTGGTACGGTGCCTTTCGAAAGACCGTTTCTGATCAAAGTAGCTGAGACAGAACTCATCGATGTACACCATGTCCGCATCAGTGAAATGTGTTGGATAAGGCGAAAAGTACCAAGGTTCTATCTCGAACTTTCCCATTTGGATATGAGTCAAGTTTCGTACCCGATGGATCTCGGTCGGGTTTTGAGTCATGCTCCCGCCTGTGCGGAGCTTTTCAATCTCCTCTTCTTTCGCAATTTGTGCTGCTAGCTTATCCTCCTCTTGCTTTATAGCTTGCTTTGCATCTACATCAACAGCATCGAGCATTTCGATATCTTCAGACTCCCCATCCAGTCTAGGCGTGCCAACTGAGGAAACAACCTCGCTGCCCAGCAGCGAAAGGTTCAGTGGCGTTTCATCTTCACGGTTCTCCTTCCCGCCAGCCTTGGATGCACGAGATGCCTTGCTGATATTCAAATTTTTGCCAGCAAGAAGATCCGGAGTCGAGGAAATTCCTTGGCTATCTCCACGAGGTCGCTTCGGAGCATTCTTCGGCTGCGCCTTTGTAGCTGCAGCACCAGAAACTTTCTTCTTCTCGGGTTTCTCTGGCTGTGGCCACTCAACCTCCTGGGTCAAATCAATCCTGGACGCAGGAACCCATTCTGTAAAAGTGCATATATTAGTAAAATGGAATTTCGAATTCACGTTTCAACATCGCTTTTCTGAACATACCGTCAAGCCGTTTATTGAAATCGACGTAGTGAACGCTAATGCGACCGTTAGTATCTAGTAGCAGCAGAGGGGGGAAAAATTGAAAAAGAAAAAGAAAAAGGAGCCCTACTAAAAACTTGAGCCTCCCTTTCGCTGTCTCATAGATAGAATCTCTGCTTTTCGATTCTCGCCATCCTATATTCATTCATGGTTAATCCTTCTTGCGGGTAGTGGATATCACGTGACTCGATGTATGTGGCTGGGCAAATTTTTTCGCTCACCTTCTCGACGAAAGCCTTCACACCGATCCTTAACAAAATCGACAGAAATCAGCATATGTGGATGTTCAGAATGATTTTGGCTATGGGGAATTTCGTGTATATCAAATTTGGGAGCGTACCTCAGCGAGTTGAGAGTGGCAAAACCCGTCTCGACGGGGTCTGGGGTGCCAGAGGCCTCTTGCGAAGCGTCACTAACGCCCATGTTATTCACAGCAATAATTTCTATGGAGTACGACGTTGTTTTGAGATGGAAATGGGCGTTACGGTGGAGATATTGATGGATGGGATTGATGCGCCTTGTCGCTCGCTGTTGGGTAGAAGTTTTGATGTTCCTGGCGTTGGCTCTGGACTTGTTGCCTTTGAGGCTGTGGTGCGCGGTAACGCCACCCACCCATTGCAGGCAGGCGTAAACTTTCCAAGGTTGGAATGTCGGAATTCTGCCTGACTCAGCAACAGGATGGCATGTCAAGTAACGAAATGAAATTCCCACCAGGGCGAGATAAACAACTTCGATTCTAGTTTTCTGTAAAATCTGAATGGCTTTGTTCAAGTACTAACCATATAAAATAACCTAAAAAAAAACCCAGTAAACAAAAATGACAACCCGTCACCGCTTTGTTAGGATATGATATTAATACAAGCAAGCCCCCAACCAACCCAATAGAAAAGAGATAGATAGATTGATCAGACCTCTGACACAATTATCACATCATCGTCATGCTTCCCACTAGCCCCATCCATTCACTGCGCCGCTCTCTAGTGACTCTAGCTCTTCCTTTCGCGATCTGTACAGCTCCTGCGCCTCGCGCTCACGACGAGAGACAAACGTCACTTCATCCCGGAGAACCTCTAGTCTCCTGCTGATACCCGATTCTTCTCCAAGCTGAAGTGTTCGGAAAGCGTCTAGCTCGAATTTGGCCTTCTCGAGCGCTTCATTGGCTTCCACAATTTTCGTCCTGAGAGTTTTTGCCCGAGCTTGATACCCGCCATTGTGGAGAGAAATCTTCTTCTCTAACTTATTCCCTTGTTCTGCAGTGGCTAGAAGTGAAGTCTGCACATTGTCAAAAGCGGTCATCATGAGTTGCTCCTGCATCTCATAATCATCGTCGTCGGTGAAGAGTGAGAGGCCTGGGAGGCCGGATGATTCATGGAGGAAAGACCATGAGGTCGTGAAAGTATCCTGCCAATCCTGCTGGGAAGGAAGAGAGGCCACCTCAGCTACGATAGCCGCACGGGCTTCGGCCAGTTGTGCATCGCTAAAAGAGGCCAATTTCGGAGCATTTCCCTCAATCTTAGCACCAGGCAAGGGGAATTTCCGGGCATCGTGGGCAATAAGGGTGATCATCTCTCGCGTAATCAAGTGCTGTGCAGGGTCTGAAACATGACTTGACTTCCCCACCAATGCGTCCAGGTTGAGAACACTAGGTCGCGGCAGACCTAGTTGATATACTTGGGTCTGCCTTTTAAATTCAGCCTGAGCCGCCCTGTCAGCGGCAGCTTTATTTCTCCTATCCCGTTCAGCTGCATCCTCTTCGGAAAGCACCTCTTTGACACTTGGCTCTGCTTCTTCCGTTGGCAATTCCTCCAGCTCCCACTCCACCTCTTTTGGCGTAGGAAGATTGCCAAGTTGGCTGCGTAATTGGCGCCGTAAAAAGTCCTCACGCAATTTCACATCCCTTGGAGTGTTACCAACAAGAGTCCCCATATCAGCATCCTTGTTGATAGCAAAGTTGTCTCTGGGTGTACGTAGTGGGGTGGCTCCTACGCCCATTGGCGTTTTCATTGGAGTGGCACCTATACCATTAGCACTAGCTTGACGGAAAGGTGTGGCCATGGGATTCGGTGTAACGAGTGCATGTTTCCGCGGCGCAATTCCTTCAAAGCCAGTAGATCCACCGCCTTCATGTAATGGCGTATTTTCTCCGCCCAGCAGGGAGGATTGTGTTTCCGTCAAGGCTTTGATATTTCGGATTTCGTTTGCAATCCGATCTTCTTCAGCCGGGGCTCTGGGAGTTCGAATGGGTGTGCCCCCAACGATTGCAGAATAGTTACTGATTAAACCTCGCGTTCCATCATTCTCCTCTTCCCCTGCCATCTTGCTTGCCCGCTCTCCCGCCATGCCCATTTTCACGATCTCTTCAAGCTCGGTTTCGCTTACTTGGGGAGAGGGGAGTACGAGGGCCCGACGCTTACTGCTCTGTTCCGCTTCTCGGATTTTCTGCATCTGGCCTGCCTTTGCAGCCGCAGCGAAAGCAGCATTGCCACTTTTGTCATTTTTTCTTCTCTTCCTTTCGGGATCCTCGTCTTGATCGCCTTTCCGTTTACTGGCAAGCTGTTGCTTTCGAGGATCGAATAATGCCCTCTGCCGCTCATTCCTGGCTTCCTCTTCCAAAGTATCGTAGAAGCCGGGGGCTGGCTGTTTCTCAAAAGGAATATCCGCATTGTAATCCATCTGGCCCTTCTTTCGGCTGACGACTTTAATGTTAACCCCGGCATTTTTCAGCTCACGACGCTTTTGTAGAACCGCAAGGCGACGTGACTCTTCCAATTGGCGCTCTCGAGCTTTCCGCTTGGCTTTCTTTCCTTGTGTATTCGCGAGGCGAGCACGTGCCTCGCTAAGCATCTCCTTTTCGTCCTCATCGAGATCGATGGTATCGGGGCGTGCGGGTTTAGATTCGGGATCGGGGTCCAATTCGCCTGGCCTAAAGGAAAAAGATTAGTGGCGATTAGCGATACAGGGAGAGAGTTTATCGTACCGTAGTCTTCTGACATCATCAGCACTAGGGGCTGCAGTTTCACCTCCGGCAGGACCGCCTAGGCCCAGTTCATCGGATTCCCGGGCCTCTGCTTCATCCAACAGCTTTTGATATCGTTCTAAGCATTGGGTCGCCGTCCTTCCGACAATAGGAGCGATAGTTCGCCACTGAGTAGGCATTAACTTGGCCAGATGGAGTAGTTTTTCGTCTTCCTCTCGCGACCACTCGATCTTCCGGATAGCGGGGTCTAGCCATTCTGACCAGCGTGCTTTGCATTGTTTCGGCGTTTTCCTGGCAAGAAGGGAGGATACTCGCGCCCACTGATTCAGTCCATATTTGGACACAGCTACCTTAACGATCTCATCCTCAATATTCGTCCTGATACGGGGATTAGCGCGCGGGAACACAAGATGATGAGAAAAAAACGTAGTAGCTTACCATACTCCGCCCTTGACGACTGGCATCTTGACTGGCGACGTGAATGACCAGGCTTGAGGTTGGTTGTTGCGCTAGCCAGCTGAATGTTGTCGGGAAGCGTGCAAGAAGGATGAATGGCAAAGGAGTTTTGGCGCCTTTGACGCGCCTTTTTAGCGCCATTGCCGCTAACCAAATTGATAAACCAACCAAACCCAAAATTTCTTGTGTCGGGCGCTATCTCAAAAGAAATCTGCTATTCCCTCCAACCCTTTTTCAGGACAGCAATACGGGTTCTAGCTGACAAAAATGGCGACTGCAATCGAAGCACCTCATCAATACAAGCAACCTTCTCGAAAAGGGAAAAGGGCATGGAGAAAACATGTGGATATTACTGAAGTCGATGCGGGCCTACAGCGAGTACGAGAGGAAGAAATCGAAGGGTTGGCCTATTCACCTCATTGAATTATTATCATATCCTGAAGTATAGATTACTGATCCGTTCTACTTTAATTTAGGGGTGTTATTGCAGAAAAGCCTTCCGAGGACCTCTTCGTTCTAGACTCCAAAGGCTCAGACGAACTCCAACGAAAAGTGAAGAGTACAAAACCCTTGAAGTGTGATGAGATACTTGCCCGCCGTTCTGCAATCCCTTCAGTTGACAGCCGCAAACGGGGAAGTTCTAAAGTTACAGATGGGATACTTGAACCAAAAAGCAAGCGGTCGAGGAGCGACTGGGTCACTCACAAAGAGTGGATGCGGTTGAAGCAAGTTGCGAAAAATGCAAATATTCAGGAACAAGATGATGACAAAAGAATATCGCATGACCCTTGGGATGAGGACAACACTCCTGAACCTGCAGAGCAAACGAAATTAAATTTCCTTGAGAAGCCCAAACCAATCGTCGTACCTCCAACAACAAAACTCCCATCCCTTTCATTGGCAGCCAACGGAAAGCCTGTGCCATCGATCAAAAAGCCAGATCCCGGAATAAGTTATAACCCGACATTTGAAGACTGGGACCGTCTTCTAACCGAGGAGGGTCAAAAAGAAGTTGACGCGGAGAAGAAGCGTCTAGAAGAGGAAAAGGCAGAACAAGAGAGATTAGCGCGAATCGAAGCTGCCAAAGATGACAGCGGAGAGGCACAGTCAGACGACGAGAGTGCCTGGGAGGGCTTTGAGAGTGAATATGAGACCCCTGAGTGGCTTAAGAAAAAGAGGCCCGAGCGGAAAACCAGGGCTCAACGCAATAAGATAAAGAGGAGAAAGGAGGCTGAGAGGAAAGCGAAATGGGAGGCGAAGCTTAAAAAACGAGAAGAACAAGCTGCTCAAGTGAAAGCGATAGCTGAAGCGGTCGCAGCGAAAGAAGAAGCTGCAAAACAGCTGCAGAAAGCAGAGGATGACTCATTAGTAGAAGGGGACGATAGATTTCTACGGAAGAGACCTTTTGGGAAAAACCCGTAAGCAGACCCGATTGCATTGACCAGTGAATGGATTCTATTTAACTGACAATGTTTACCTTAGGGTTCCTGCCAAACCATTGGAGGTCGTTTTACCGGATGAACTGCAAGACTCTCTACGTTTATTGAAGCCCGAGGGCAATTTACTCGGAGACAGGTTCCGGAATCTCATCGTTCAAGGCAAACTTGAAGCGAGAAATCCAATTACGCAACCGAAGAAGGCGAAGAGGGATTATACAGAGAAATGGACTTACAAGGACTTCATAATTAAACCATAGATTAATGAGCTAATTGGCGTTTTATGGAGTTTTGACAATATGAATTCTAGAGATTTAATGCTATTATCATGGCCCTTTTTTGTACTGTGGAGGAGTAACTTGGCCTTTTAATATATTATTTAATATTTGACATCATGGCTCTCTGTTTGCTCTGTTTGCAGAAATGCGCCGGAAACTTTAAAAATGCTAGATTCACTCGCAACTTCCACCCAACAGGTCATCGCAAGCTACTAAAGCTCTCTCCCAACAGAAAAATCCCTATAATTATTGTGTTATTCAATATCGCTATGAGCGGATACATAAATTCGTCGCCATTGGAATGGAACTAAACAACCTCTCGAGTAATTGGCGAAAGCTTCAAGAAACTCTGAAGAAAGACAGTCCCCCCACCGCCCAAAAACGCAGGGCAAATACCTCCGCGACGAGCCATGAAGTGAAGAGGAAGAGAACATCATTATCGTCACCATCAATAACCGGTAACAGACGCGAGAAGGGTGAAAAGTTTTCCAAAAGGAGGAAGATGGGCTTGGTGCTGTCAACGGATGCCAACGGGGAAGAATCAGAAAAGCGTTCTATAACGACTCTTTCGCAACGGAATGGATCTACAACTTCAATAGTGCAGACACAATCAAAACCTTCTAGCGAAGCGAAGGTTAACGAAGGGATATCTCCGACGTTAGTTTCCTACCAAAACTATTAATCGCAATTTAGTTCAAAAAGCTAACTGCATCTACAGCACAGAGGTGGGGAAATATATCGCTATCGACTGTGAAATGGTGGGCGTGGGGCCGAATCCCGATCGCGACTCGGCTCTAGCCCGCGTGAGTATCGTCAACTACAATGGTGAACAAGTGTACGATTCGTTTGTCCGGCCGAAGGAAGCGGTGACGGACTGGCGAACACACATAAGCGGGGTGTCAGAAAAACACATGGCGGACGCCAGAGAATTTGAAGTAGTCCAAAAAGACGTGGCAGGAATCCTGGATGGATGCATTTTGATAGGGCATGCTGTCCGAAACGATTTAGACGCCTTGCTCCTGAGCCATCCGAAGCGTGATATCCGGGATACCAGTAAACACCCTCCGTACCGGAGGATTGCTGGTGGTAGCTCACCACGTCTAAAGATATTAGCTTCTGAGCTATTAGGTTTAGAAATACAAGGAGCTGCCCATTCGAGTGTTGAGGATGCGCAGGCAACGATGCTTCTTTTCCGACGAGACAAGGAAGCGTTTGAGAGGGAGCATGCGAAGAAATGGCCGCCTATACGTACACCCACGGACAAAGATGGTCAGAAGGCCGACAGTAGTGCGAAGAAAAGGAGGAATGGAAAAAAGAAAAGGGGGAAGAAATAGATCACTGCCTAGTTGATATGTTTATGTTTGGAGCCATTTCTGTGGAGCATGCATCTTGATGACATTTAAATACCCCACCTCGTAGATGATACTAAGGATTAAACTTCATATTAATCCTAATATATCCAATTTGTTCAATAATAATGGAACTTGAACTGGATATTTGCTCCTCTGCCTCGCGCCAGTAGAATGGAAGCTGAAAAGGGCTGCTTATGTAATGATGATAGCGGCGTTGAACGCGCCCAACGCGTCGCCGGAAACGCATTAATTTCGAATACTTAAGATATAGCATCACCACGCAAGCCGTCCACAGAAACCAGCTCCTCGATTCCCTTACAATTAACAAGATAACCCCCACTAAGATCTATCTCTTTTTTCTAAATTAAATATTTACGCCTCAATCAAGACTCATCTGTAAAACACAGCGCCAAAAACGCGCATCAGAAAGTTTCCTCCATTGCGTTTCAAGACTTGGTAGTTACCGCACCTATTCAAGCCCGGCAATCCAGGTACACGCAACACGCAAGAAGCCGAAACGAAAAAGGGTGCAAAAACATGTTCGCAATACAGCCACCTAAGAACAACACTGATTCACATCAACGTAATTCATCAATTACTCCAAACATTCTTCCGTGCCGGATTCATCATGACGGACCTGTTGAAATCTCGGCTAGATACTGGAACCCGGTAGTTGATGAGAGCAATCCTGGTATGTTTTTGGAAATCCCATTTTTATGCGAGTTTTGTCTTGTTTGTTTTTCTCTTGATTCTGCTCGTCTGTCTTTAATCTGTTTATTTTCATTATATACATCTATCACAATGGATTCTGTCTTCACTTCGGCAAATAGATGGAAGACCAGCTAACCTTTTCCTACAAGACACTGCAACCGCATACTTCCGAGGTAGAAGGCTTAGGGGACGGAGAGTTCTTATCCCAGAGGGATACGAGGGTATGTGTTTTGCATTTTCCATTTCGTCGCCATTATTTGATAGGGGACCATAGTTTGGGGGAAAAAGGCGAGACAACAAGTAATCTATCTGACTCCGTTTTAAATATTGTTTCGAACCGGTTACAGGCGTTCTTGCAAGTACAGATTCAAGTCTCCAACTAGCAGCATTGGAATCCGGAACCAAGAAGAATGACCAAGGGCGATCGCATCGAAATTTCGATCTGGAAGAAGACGAAGATGATGATCATCACGATGATAGCGATGAAGATTACTGGAAGTCGTTCGCAGTAGTCGAAAAACAAGGTTCATTTTCGGATTTCATGGTATGGGACCATGAAAAAGTACCAGCCGCTGATGACCCTTTTGTTAAGGGCGTCAGCGAGTGGATTCGGTTCGCTGAGGCGGTGCGTATCCAGCTGTGATTTATGTTCATTCACCACTCAAACAAAATCTTCATGTCGTTTTTTGTTGTTCTGGCACTGTTGAGGATGTAAGACATGATCATTTGCTAACTTCCGCACAGATGCATGCAGCACCCTCTAATCCAGCACGGCAAGATAATGGAAGGGTCTATTTGGAGCAAAAAGAGAGGGGCGAGACCCAAAAGGATTGCAGGAACTCGGCATCTTCATAAATGAGAATAATGCAGGGCCATGCCATTCCACTTCTTGATTTCTTGGTGCCTCAGAGTACTTGTTGAACAATTCTTGATGCAATTATTTATGCGATACCATAGTTATACCTAGCTCTGTACTGTACTTTGGCGCGTAGTTCTAGAACATTGGATAGAAGATTTTACCTTTGGCAACCACGTGCTGCACAACGATAAGGTTTTGGTAAGAATTACTCTGTATATACTATGCGTGAGGTAAAAAGAAAACCTCATCCAACAGCAACAACCGGTTCATGCACGAGATGGGATACGTCCAGTCCACGCATCTTATCATATCAGCCCCGCCGCCTTGGCAGCATGTTCTTCAAGGCCACACCACGCTAAAAGTCCGCTAAGACTGCTCTAGAAGCGCTACGTTAATTCGGCCAAGGCTCAAACACAAAGCTTGATCTCAACTACGAACAAGAGGGCGGCATCGACTACACGTGGGTGTGTGTGTACAGGCGGGAAAAACGCATTATTTTCAATTGACGGCGAGACAACCACGGGCGAGCAACCATAACAACAGCCAAAATTCTGCGGAAGCTCCTCGGGACGTTTTGGCATTGTTATTTCGCATACCGTTACCTATGCACATTGCACATTGCACATTGCACGTTGCACGGCAACTAAAGCGTGGAACAGCTTTCTTCTGAGTGGCCGCCAACAGCGCCCGGATTGGACCTGCCTCTGCAACAATGGAGCAGAGGTAGTCTATGGCGCGAACTGCTGAGGCCTTCTCATGCTGAAAATACATAGAGTACAGTCTGTACGCAGAGAGAGAGCAGGTTTTGCTGAGTGATGACAGTGGCTGACAAGGTCTTTATTATTCCTCCATATCGCTTCATTACTATGAGCGGGGTCCCTCCCGTTCGCGACTTGGATTATCACGTCTTATCTTTAGGGCGTTAGCAACAACCATTATTATTGAGACTCGGGGAATTAGCCAATGCACGTGTGTGGCAGAGAAGCATCGTCGGCCAGCATCCACTTTTTGCACCGCTGACATTGTTGCATTCCGTGGATTTGAATCACAAACTGCCCATTCCTCAGCTCTTTTCCGGCATGCATCGTTGACAGGTATTATCGCCGCAGAAGCACGCCCCTCACTTCTGCGCGTCAACCCACGCTCTCGGGGTCTTCTGAGATCAAGCATCACCCCGGCAACAAGCATTCCTGGTCCACTCCCTCGGTCAGCTGTAATCGGCATAAAAGGAGATACGCCACCACCTCCTTTTATTTTATTTTTTTATTTTTTTTATTTTTTTTATTTTTTTTATATATATATATTTTTATGTTTTTTTTTTCAATTCCTTTCTGTTTCTCTTTTTATGTGCTGTGCTTCTCCAGCTGTCCATTCGTTTTATGAATTGCAGTGCCTGCATTCTTCTTTAAACCATGAAGTTTTCGTGGGTCGCCGGTGTTGCGCTGTTCTCGTCTGCGGGTCTAGCGCAGACATACCAGCGCCTGGGAGGATGCCCTGAGTTGGGTTGTGTTTTCCCACCAGACCAGTATGCTCTCCTCCCTATTTTTCTTTTTTTTCTTTCTTGTTCTTCATTCATAGTTCGGAATCATTGGTTGGCAAATCGGTGTTTCTTGAGTTGGAAAGATATGTGGTGTTTTGAAAAACTAACAAATTCAACCCAAAAAACATTCAGGGCGGATTTCCTGGCTGGACAATATTTTGACATCCGTGTCGAAGTCCATTCGCCTGTCAATGGCTCTGAGGCCCGCGACGGAGAGCCGGATCCCAACTTCACTTTCACTCTCATGAAGAAGGGTCGTAACAGTAAACCAAAACCAGTTACCGAATATTTTGACGTAGAAGAACCCGAGCTTGAGAAATGGGACTTCAGTTGGTATGAAGGTAAGTTTGTTTGGCCATTCGAAAGAAATACAATTGAACACTCAATCAAGGATCTGAATACTGATCTTTGTTAAGACCTATTTGCGCGAGATGCGAAGAAACCCTCATTGGTCAAGGTCTCATCCAAGATCTATCGTCGCGTTGCGTTGTACCACCCAGGAGACTATGAGGCTACCCTCACCTACTATGATGGCAAGACAACGACAGCTAGCTGGCACGTTCGAGACTTAGCCGCAGTTCGCAAGGCGAAGAACGTGATTATGTTCATTGGTGATGGCATGACCACTAACATGATCACCGCTGCGCGTATGATTGCCCATCGTTCCGTCAACGGCAAATTCCAGACCACTATGCAGATGGACAAGTTCCCTGTTCT